TTTTTTTTTCCTTTTTAAAATCATTGATGCTTCTCTTGTATTTACCAGAGATGAATAGCCATCATTTGACTTTCAGCACATTTACTTGAAATGTTTCTTTAACAGTTGAGCAATGCAGGATTTAATTCGTCTAACACACACAGTGAAGCGGTAGCACCATCTACTGCTGAGCTGTAACCGATACCCAACACAAAGAAACATTTTCCTAAAGCTTTGCATGTGAAGTACATTGATGGATGATTTTGGGCTGGAAAGTGAGATACAACAGAGAAAGATCAAGTGGTGACAGCTGAAATGCACATATGGAAGTGTTAGAGACATGTGACTAAAAAGAGGACATGGAAATGAAAACTTACTTGATTTGATATATCCATTATAGCTATTTTTAGCTGAGAAAAATGAAGAGACGAATGAGAGGTTACAGGAGAAGCAAATTGTAATGAAAGCAAATTATAAATGACAACAGTGAACTGAAAACTTTTAAAGCATTGAAAAATAAGTCTGCCTCCAACATGTACACAAAAAAAATTAGAAGTAAAACACTGGCCAGTTGGGTTTATGATTTGAAGGTTTTGTTGTCAGTAACTGTCAAGAAAACATGGGATTAGTTGTTTTAAATAAGCCTGCTGTGAACGGAGACTGATGTGATTGTAGGTTAATATGACAAGTTCGCTATTTGTTAGTCATTTAGTCATTGAAATGTCAGAAAAAATCTGAAAGAATGTGCATAGAAAAATTCAAATCTGAAGTCTTTAAATGTCTGATTAGTAATATTATTTCAAAGTCAAACATTTTCCCTTGACTATTACCAACAGAAAACAGGACATGTTCTATTTTGAAACTGAAACTAAAAAATTATTTTTTGTCTTTAAATATTACCTGTAACTAATTTAATTTATTGACTGCTCTTTTCTGATCTCTGGCAAGGTTAATTTATCAGCATCAAATCACTACATGTCAGAATGAGGCAGTTCCTAACTATAGAGCCCTTAAAGAAAATCATTCATCCAGAGTAAAATAATAGAAAGCTTTAGATGAAATGTGTATGTAACCATGAAAATCCTCATTGTAGACTTGTCTGCAGTGTAAACTAATTTTGTGTCTTTTCAAAAATCTGCTTTAGCCGATCTGCAGCCCTGCCTGAGACACCCCCCGGAACGATGAATGGAACTTTGTCTGAGTCACTTTTTGGACCTGTGAATCCCACACTTGCTCATTAGTGACTTATTTCAACCCCTTGCTTACAATAAAGGTCATGCATTGAGCTTAAGGCAGGACAGTGACAGCGATGTTCAAACAGCGACCTTGCTGGTCCTGGCATCTGTCGCCTGCAATCGGAGGGCGCGAGCAGAGTCACAGGACTAACAGGCTAGCATCTGTCCCACAACGAGAAAAAAGCAGAGGGGCGGGGGCACTCGGCTGCCTGGTGGTTAGGAACTGTCAGGCTGTGTTTCATGACAACCGGTAGCACTCCAAAAATGAAAATGCAAACATAATTTCCATGTCAGACTGTATAAGGCCTTGCTCTATGCGTTCCCCGCACCGTGTCGACAGCAACTCCAGAGCTATGCTCAGGCTCAGCCGGCCAGGCCAGGCTCGCAGCACATAACCCCGGAAGACATGTTGAGGGGTGGAAATGCCCAGAGATTCTCAAGTACACGCAGAATAGTGTTTGATCCGTGTACATTGACTAAAACTGCATGACAGTCTGCAATGTTTTCCAGCATTTTGTTATCCACTCGCTGCAACATCAGACACATTCTTCATGCCTGTTGCGATACATCAGTAAAGAAGCCCCTGGCTTTGAAGGAGAATCACACTTCTATTAAGAATCCTTGTGAAGCTAAATTTAGTCCAATTAATTTATTCAAAGTCCAACACAATCAAATAGTGTGCTACTCTAATTTATTTTCTCTGATCCCAACAGCATAATTACATTCCTCTTACTGTACAATTCAGTCAAGGCCTTGACACTAAAAGCTACACCCTAGAACGTTCTCAGCTGAATGTGTTACTGATTTTACCCCCAGTGCTTGTTCAAGGTTTTCATCTTAATTTAATAAAACCACTACATTAAGCACAGTATGCACTTCAATCTTTTTTTAATCCCCTAAGGTGCTCTCAAGACCATTTTTCTAATGTTCTCAAAGCCATCTACACACACAGATATTCTGTTCATCCATCTTTCTGCAGGCTATTGTGGTGACATATTTGGATTAAATGGATGTTATTTGGATTACCTTTGTAAAGAAGTTTAAATTACATTATTATTGTATCTGAATTGTCTGTGGAAATGCGTGCAGTTTGTGTTTGCATCAGGATTTTTGCTCCAGGATAAAAGTAGCTAAAAGGTTATTATCTTTGACATGGACTTCTTTTAAAAAATATTTTGTTTAGGTCACTGTAAGGAGAAATAACTTCCACACTATAATACACTCAGCATTAGAGAGATCTGGTGATCTGATTCAGAACAGGTCACATTTTCTGAACAAAACAGTAAACCAGCATGCATCACAACAGCTATAGAAGTCACCTCAGAGGTTAGCAACACAGAGCACCAGCTGACTCGACAAAATCATAAGGCTTAAAGCAACATCTATATAGATGACAGGGACGACACAGCTGCTAAAGCGAGACGACACACAAGCTGCGCCATAAACACAGTGCATATCATCATACACGGAGGAGCACATGTCATGGCGACAACTTACAGGCACGTAAAGTGGCTGAGCAATCATTAACAGAGACAGCAGAGAGTGGGATGTCCCGTTGAGGGGCGTCCAAGTTACAACGCACATTAACTGGCATGCAAGAGCAGTCCCGCTCAGAGCTGCCGCAATCAAAACAACATGCCAGTCTCATTTTCTTGTAGGCGGGCATCCTGGCTACAGTCATGGGTTCAGACAAGAGGAGAGGAAGAGCAGGTTAATTTACAGGGCCATTCTGGAGGAAGAGTGGACATGGGTAGACAGGGCACAGAGGAAAACTGCTGCTGCTGGGATGCACAAGATAAAGTGATGAGACAACGTACCAAAGTTAACAGATTCTAAATAAATATTTCTTTTTTGCGTTCTTTTGAGAGTCACAGGATTTATTATTGTGAGCATCTCATGAATTCTTAAAAAGATTACTATTAAATCTATGAAGAAAAAATGTTTCTGTTTAATTCTTCCAGCCTTCTCATAAATCCTGATGATCACAATATGTGAGTACAGCGAGAAAAGAGACCAACACATCTCTTTAATATGACCCCAGTAATGTGGCAAAAGACAAAGTTAATGTTAGTTCATAACATCTTTAAATAAGGTACAGTTGAAGGAACTATGATGCAACTGAAAGCATTTTTTTCCCTTTTAATAACACAGTTAAAACGGGAAATAATCCTCATTTTCCTTGCCATTAGATTTCTAGTTATTTTTCATCTTGAAAGCAAGTTGGTTTTCCATGGGTCAGTTGAGACATCTGGTGGTGAGCTGGAGAGTTACATACTCAGACAATAACATTTGTTTTTGTTTTTTTGTTTGTTTTGGGCGGGGGATAATTCGGCAATACCACTGTATATTTCTCCTCAGAATAAGAAAAACTCTATTTAATTGTAATCTGTTTCTTTTGTGTTTTTCACACCTGCTTATTTCTAACCCGTTTTGATGTTTTGATACTAAATTTATAAGCGACATGCACGTGACAACAACGAGGGGTCGTGGCAGCATCACACATTGTACATGCAACATTTACACTGCAGTCAAACAGGTCGCATTTGTTGGGAACAAGTAGCAGGCTGTGTTGTCGAAGGGGAAACAAATCCAAATTACTCACAATATATCACTTTTAACGGATTTTTTTTTTTAAAGACAAGCGTGCCAATTTCCCAAGCAGCAGGAAAAGAATACATAACATGTGAAGGTTAGCTATTAGTTTGAATGTTTTTACAAAACATACTGAAGTGAATCCAAGTGGAACAATCGTGTCATCGCAAACATCTGTTTTTTTAAAAGCTACAAACGTGATCAGTCCAGGTACCTGCGGTGTTAACAGTCTCTCTGAATACCTGTTCACATCACAAAGTTATCAGTGCACCGTAAAAACCATCAGAACCACTGTGTGACAGAGAATAAGCACAAGTAACAAGGAATCATTCAATAACTAATCTATGCAGGAACTCTGTGGTTCGGACACATGGGCAGAGTATGTAAATAAACTGCTAGTCTAATGCATAACCAGTTCACTTCAGTCTATAAAAATAATATCAATGAGGTCAAGACATTCAGTGTTTTGTTTTTTTTACTTACATTTCTTGCAACCACATTTCTTTATCCTTTTGGGATCAGTTATGTCATCGTGGCAAGCCTTACAATAGAACAGAGCTCTGTGGGAGAGAAATGAGAATCCTGTATAATACTGCTTGTTAAGATTGATGAAACATTTGTAGAGATTTTGTATATAACTTCTTTGCCAGCACATATGTGAACAACAACAGGTTTGCTGTTGCAAAAGTATGACAGAATTTTGAGAATTTGGATCTTTGGACCAGATACACGAATCTTATTTTTTCAAAATATTTTTCCAAATAATTTAAGAGAGACATTATGTCTTTGCAGCATGTTACTACCCACAAAATAACTCAATATAATTTGTAACTTGTAGTTGGTTATGTGCAAACAACGCTGGCTCTTCCCTTGTATTACTAAATTCTTGATGCACTATAAATCATTGATGGATCACAATAAGTAAACAATATGAAAACAGTAAACTCTTCTAAGATTGGTTTGGTCCAAGGAGTTGAAAGGGAATCAGTAAAAAAAAAAGAAAAAAGCAACCAATATGTTAAACTTCCTAAAGTTTGAAGAACTTTTAATGAAGACTGCAAATAACTCAAAATGTAAATAAAGGACACTACGTTTTAGCTCAGCAAAAATAAAAGGGACATGCAGGACATGAATATTTATACACAATTTAACCTCAGGCCTATATTACCTCTTAACTTCTTTGGCATCACTGGCAATGAAGAAGCCCAAGGTCCCCTCCTGCATTTTCACATGGTTTCCGGGATTGATCAGAGTGCTGAGAGGATTTGCGGATGAAAGATGTCAGAGCAGAAAGTTATATCACAGACTTTGCCAGGATTTCCACTAATCACTGGCAGAGACACCATGTGCCAAGAGTGCTTGTTGCAACTCATTTGGCAGGAGAGCCTCTGTTTATTAATTAAACTGATGGAAACTGATTGCAGTGACACTTTAAAGTGTACAAATGAGCATCAGTGCTTTAGAGAAACCACTAAAAGAAAGCGTCTGCTGTGCTTAAAGAGGCCAACTGCCACCATGCTCATTAATTTGTCAGAGAATGCTGTGATGTCTGTGATTAAACCAATTAAGATGTCAATTTTCTCACAATATGTGGGGGAATGTTTGCAGTAAAACATTGAGGCTCATTTAAAGAGACTACAGCTCTGAGAGCAAATGATGTCAGCGGACGCACTTGCCTATTATTAATCTTTTTATTTAATGATTCAACAACCCCACTTTACTTACCTGCTTTCCCTTTGATCAGATTTGTACTCTATAGCTATCAGGAGCAGTTTCAGCTTCACATAGCAGAGTCTGCAAACCAGAACATGAAAACAACTTTATAATAATAATAATAAGCTTGATATTAGCTTTTTTTCCAATAAATATCCCAGGAACCCTTTTGCCCTTTTTCAATGTTTAATTCATATTACTGAAAGCTACATTTTCCATTTTGCAGTGTAAAAATAGTATTATATATGCTCTGAAATGCACACAATAAAGCTGAGATAGTCCGACTATATTATTTAACATTTTTTGAGAGATACTGTTTTTTAATATTTAATGATTGACAAAAAATGAAATAAAACAATACAATTGTTCTATATTACAAATTGGAATATATGACTAACCTGGACAAACAACAATAATACTAATATCCATAATGTTAAGACTCATAGTATCTACGTTCTAAGAATTTATTAATAAACAATACTATATCAAGCAAAAAAAAGTTTAAAAGTGCTTACTCGCAAATGACTGGAAACGACAAACCCACAAAAGCACTGGACAGGTACTCTGTGTACATCTCATTGGCTACTCCTTCTAGGTAATACTTCTGCCAAGTGTCCTCCTCAATCTACAAGAAGAGAAGATTTGACTGTTTTAAATGAATGATAAAAGTTCAGTTCCCTTTTTTCAAACTTATATCCACTTGATGCTGCACACAAAAAAAAGTCAAGTATGATCTACTCGGATTTTCTTTATGAGCAACTTAACCTTTGAGATTCAGTCCCTGAGCCCAGATGGATGAAGCCCAGCTGTAGTTACCTTGATGAAGGACCTCATTGAGAAAAGGTTGGCCAGCATGGTGGAGAGGCCCTGAGCCAAGCAGCTCTGCGCAATGAATCCAAGCTTCAACTCTGCGAGGCAAATGGCATCGTCTCCCTCCTTCCAGGTCCAGCTTGGGATGTTCAAAAGATGAGCCTTCGGGAGGCAGAAAAAAAAACTTCATACAAGATGCAAAGAGAAACCAGTGAAAGCTAAAAAATAAAGACATTTCTTTTTTTAGTAAAATTAACCAAACCAACCTTATTGTGGTACTGTAACATTTGAGTGATGATTCTGATTTTTGGATGGTAGTTCTTGATAGAGATTACTCTGAGGGAGAACAAAAAAATAGAAAATAAAAAAACACAAAGTCAGAGCATTTGCAGAGATTGAAAAAGCTTGACTCTAGCAGATTAGATTTCCATCAGTAACACAGATTAAAAACTCACATGTCAAAAGGTTTGCTGTTACATTTATCTATTAAATAAAACTGTATGAGTTGCAACACAGATTATTTCCAAATGGAAAGGTTAGCACCAGAAACCACATTCATAAACTATGGGCACATTCGAAAGCCCTGCATGTACCCTGGAAACAAGAATGTGTTGAGACCTGGCGCCATACACATTTTTAATGGCAATTCTATGCTTATTTGTGGTTGAAACACAGAAAAGGCTCACAACCTATTACAAGTTAGAACATTACACCATCATTCATGCATACGTATTTGCCTCCATCCTTCATTCAGAAGCTTTTAGGTCACAAAATTAGCCCAAAAACACACAGAAACTGGGAAAAAGAACATTGAAGGTGAAGGAGAGGCTTTGCTATACAGACCTCATTATGTTGGACGCATCCTCAGCATCAGGGTCAGCACAGTATTTGTTGGCCAAGATCAGGCAGGCATCAGCTGATTCAATCTAAAGACATAATGCACCACAAAACCCACCAATATTCAGTCAATCTAAACATAATCTATAAAAACAAAGCTGCCTGCAGAGTACTGCCATTTACCTTGACTCTGGCCAGGTCGTGTGGGTTAAGGACAGATCCTTGATAGAACTCCACCTGGGTGAAGTGGCGCTTGAACAAGGCTTCCAGCTCAAGATTAGGGGAAATACTGACAAGGAGGTGCAAAAAATAAAAAAATGAAAACAATGAAAAAACAAGTGAGAGAAGTCTAGATCACCCATCTCATGAATATAAATGTGTGTTTTATTTAGTAATCTGCTCTTTTTAACTCAGGAACACAAGTATCTACATAAGGAAGATAAGTTTTGTACTTACTTATGGAGAAAAACTATTTCTACATTGACATCATCCCTGTCCTTGTGTAGGAAGTCTTTTAGAAAGTTGGACACACTCTCAAGTGTTATATGACCACAGACCACGATGTGCCTGGAAAATGAGGTGCAGAATAATAAGGAAACTAAAACGTCCTGAGAGTTAATATCAGCAAATTAAATGTAATGGACATTTAGATCAATGATTAGAAATCTATGTGGAAGTGATAAATATGTAAGATGAAGGATGTTTGATGTTCCCATCATGATGAGGACGACTGAATGAGAAGGTCAGGGAGCACTCTGGATTTCAACATCAGATTATAAAGGATCAGTTGACTCAGATGGAGATTATAAAATCAGCACAGAGAGTATTTTGCTTTCCACATTTCACAGTGCAAATCACTTTTATGTCTCTAATTTTGTCCTATATCTTTTCGATAGTTCTCAGAGGAAGACACCTCATGTGAAGTGCTGCAATATAAGAAGATATACAACTGGAAATCCAAGCATGCAGTGACCTTTTTTGCTTTTTTCACTTAAAAATGCCAGATATTGTAGAATGTACATGAGTATCATTGTCAAATTAAATGTGTTTGTAAAAGAAAAGAAAAGACTTATGATAGCAGGCATAGAAGAAGGGGAAACAGAGAAAAATGGAAGAAAAAAACCGGACGACCACATTAACAGAGAACATGCATCAATATTTATGTTAGGAGCCAAATGCTACGTAGCCACAGCCTCTGTTAGTTGTCCATCATGTCCGCTGTCATTTTAACTGCACAAAGGCACACTAAAGGTGCTTCTTTGTGTCAGCTTCTCATGACAGTCCAATTTAGGCATAAAGTAGATGTGAAAAAAAACATCATTTTATTAACATTTTTAGATTATTATTTCATTATGAATAAGGTGAATTAAAATAACAACAAAATCAAAGTTAATGTAAAGAGGAACAAATAACTGATGCCATATACTTCATAGTGTTTTTGCAAGTTTTTTTTTCTTGTCTTTTTTAGAACCAGCAAATATATGAAACCAGAAGCGACATTTTGTTATAAAACTGAGGCATACAGCAGAATCTGATTATCTTTAGAAACAAATGTGGAACTTTGAAAGCAAATGTGCATACATTAAGGGATTAGTTTGACATTTTTGGAAAAATATGCTTTCTTGCAGAGTTGGACAAACAGATTAGAAGCACTTTGTGATTAGTGTATCTTAGCATCAAACATGGAGACTGTTCTCATACAGCTGCATTTTGAGCGATGAGTCCTGTGAAAACTGTTCCTTTATTCTGCAGGCAGGCTCATGCCACTGTACCCACGTAGGACTGTGAACTAACTAAGTGCAAGCAGTTGCTGCATCTTTTGAGTAAAGCCCACAGTTTTGACACAACTTTTGTAAGAGAGAGGGAGGGAGGAAAAAGTAATTCTCCATACAATATTAAAATAATCATAGGACGTTAAGTGGAAGAAGCCTAAAATCATACAAATTTCAAGAAAATGAATGAGTTGTCAAAAGAATCAGGCAATAAAATCATTTATAAAACATTTCTTCATCCTCTTTTTAAAAGAAAAGCTAAAGGACTAACAAACCAAGCTAGGCCCATTCTGTAGACTTCTGCTCACCTGGTGTTAACATGCATGATTCTCAGTGATCCAATAAGTTCTTGGAAGGAGGAAGATCAATTGTGAACTGATCGCTGTGTCTACCTATGTCCCTATTAAATCTAATCATTAGTCATTTACTCAATGGACTTAAACAAGTGGCAGTGTAGCCTTTGCAGCAAAAATAATTGCAAGAAGTGGGTTTGTTCTTCTTAGGTTATGGGGTTGGGGGGAGTATTAAAGCCTCTACTGTGAGCAAAGAAGTACCTCTTGTCCCTCCATTTAATCAAACTAGTAAAACAGGAGTATCAGTAGAGGATTCTTCCATTCCTAAAACAAACATGACGCGATTAATCATCTATTTAAAAAATCAGAGAGCAAGAAATAAGAATAAAATTTTACCCAAAATGTCAAAGAATACCTTTCTATTCAAGATTTTATTTTGTTCTGAGGGTGTAGGTCAGACTGAAGATTAAGGCCAAGTTCAAAAGCAAAGCACAGAGAATGAACAAGCAGAGCAGGGCAGTGAACGTTTTTCAAGCTTAGAAAAACTGCACATTTAACACTTGAAGCAAGCAATGGCACACAGGATCAATGTAGGAGTTGGGTTTTTTTTGTGCTAAGAAAATAGATAACTTTGAATTATCTGTATTATAACATTGTATTATACAATATAATTTCAAATGATTACTATAAGATAATCATTTCACTGTTAATTCTCATAAATCAGCATTTTTACAAATTCGTATTATTTGAGAGAGGTTTTTCTATTGCCTTTGTCTTTAGGGTTGAATTTGGAGTTGAACAGGTGGTCCTACATTTAATTAAATCAGTGGCACCATAACCACATACAACCTAGTAGATTAATGTTTTAATATAATTTCCTTTTGATCACATTTTGATCAATTTCGTCAGGTATTTGCGTAATTGTCTGGTGTAAGTGTGAGTGGGGTTGAGTGAGTTGGACGGAAAGATGAACGAAAGAAATAAAACACCAACTAATTAATCAATAATACAAATTCAGTACACATGAACATTGACAAAAAGCAGCCTATTTACAAGTCAGACACAAAACATGTTAGATTTTCTCATGCTACCAAACGAACAAATAAACTGTGATACATCTGTCAACTTGAACTTCAAACTGACAAGTAAAATGTTTCTACTTGCAGGAAAGATGACTATTGGTATCACCTTCAGATTTAATATTCATTCTTTTGTTTGCTACCTTTCTGTGTTTGTTTTCCTCACATTTTTATTCCACTTTTTCAACTCTACATGTCATTTTCTTCCTAAGTCAGTTCACATGCTGTTCTAACCCCGTATACAAATGCAATGATAAATGTTCCCTATTGTGACTTGGCTTTTTCTCATTTGTTTTTTTATTTGCTTTTTTTTTCACCAAAGCTTTTTCATAAATCCTCACATTACAAAAGCAGCTCACTTAAGGCCCCTTCGTTTATGCCTATATCTTACTAATAGCTGCCAACATTAAGAATTCAGTGGAGCTGTTCTGTAAAAGCTATAAAATCTGTTCAGATTGTATCCGTCCAGAATAAGAATGGATGGATGATCACAGTTTATGCCCCAGTGAGAAAATCCAACATGTGCCACATTTATGCACAACAACAGTACATTTACAGTACATGATCTACACTGAAAAGATATCTTTCTGATAAAAACATTTTGTCTGCTTTTAAAAGGTCCAAAGTGCTATTTTCTTTAGAAAAGTGAAAATAATCTGCTTGATCGCAAAATTGATGTTTCAACATTCTTTTCATCTGTTTAAAGAAAATAGAACTTTAAGATGGAGATTCTTTGCAGTGTAAAACCTTATTTTAATTAATGACAAGCAGCACGGACAGCTTGTAATACAAAAACGCAGCTGCACATTGAACACATTCATCATGGCCAAGTTCTTCAGTCACTGTGTGACTTTAGTGCTTATTGAGATCATTACATCTCAAACTCCAGTTTTCTTACGTCCGTTTCAGCAGAAATCTGAGCCTCACCTCTTAATATGAGGACCACTTAAGTCACACAAAACCACACCATTACAAGTTTGCTATCTTTTAATTTGATTGACTTACTTTCTGCCTCTGGTCGAGTTATAACTCCCTCCATATTTCTTCCGATTAAGGATGAGAGCAGCAATTTCTGGCACGTAGCGAGCAAACATGGCCTACATGCATGAAAAAGAAAAAGAAAAGGGCATGCAGAGAAGGTTCTACTGCGGCGGAGGCAGTAGAGCCTCCTTGAATACTTACTTTCTCCCATTAACCGCACTATAGGAACCACCATATTTCTTGCGGTTTCCTATTAACTCTATGATTTCAGGGACGTAGCTTGCAAACATGGCCTAAGGAGAAGATAGGAGACAGAAGAGGAGACTAAAAAAAAGTCAAGCAAAGACGAGTACGTCCTCTGTTTTTGCTTTTAAAAAATCCATAAAGTTTGAAAGAGAACCACTTCTCGTTGTGTAGGATGAAACATATTTTCTATTTGTTTAAAAGAAATTAGAGAAAAAAAATTAAAGATGTTTGAAAATAATAAACAGATGTATCATTTATTCAAATTAACTGAATGAAATTGTTTGAATGTAACCTGAAGATGTTGCCGTTACATTCCATAAACTGCAAGACAAAAAAAAGTATGAAAATGAAAAAGGATATTGAAAGGCTAATATTTACAGGTACTGGAAGCATAAAGGAGAAAAATGACAGCAGATGAGCAGTATGCCGATCTGTGGTAGAAAAATAAAAATGATAATAATCAAGAAAAAGCCTTATATGCCATGTTTTGTCCAACAAACACTCATGTTGGGTTGATTTGAGCAGCACAACCAAATGGATGATGAACATTAAGTATCTGCACTGCTGCACATTTGGCTAAATTCCACAAAGACTTCCTTTGATATAAAATAAGACAAGAGCTGGACTTCATAGAAGAAGTGTGACTATAGGACTGACCCACCTGCCATTCAGACTGTTGATCAACTGATAACATTTAGCTAACAACCAAAAACTCAAAATGGGACTCAGACCCATGAAAGTTAAGCAGTTACTGTGCAGACAAGAATGTTACTATCAGACAAGAATGGGACCACAAAGATCCCACGGGTCCAGAAATTGGTCTCATCAGTCCCCAGATATTTTCACTGGGCTGTCTAAACGGTAAATACGGTTCTTCTCCAAAGCGACAATGTCTCACTTTTAATATTAGATATATTTTCATTATTCTACTGTCAGTAAATATGCATTTATACAATTTTAAAAAAACATTGTTTTCAGTTTATATTGATAAGTGTGGCCCCTAAAAGAGGTATAGAAGTTCACCAAACTTTATTATAAGGTAACTCAGATTCATTGTAAATCTTATACTGGAGAGACTAGATTTCTGTTTACAAAATATTGTAAGTCCCATATGAATATCAGTGCAGAAAGTGAGATTTATTAATGTTGCTGCATCCATAAAGCTCAGCTTCAAGAAATCATCCACATCTCACTGTGTTTGTTGGAAGGAGGGAGGGGGGACAGAAGGGTGGAGACACCTGAAACCGTAGTACTTTTACAGTTAATAACATAAGAAACATTTTCATAAGTCTTGAAGGAGACAAACTTCCATTCTACACCCGAATAAATTCTGCAATAGTTGCCAACAACACATACAGTAAAAGATATAAAACACACTGCGGTGGCGTGGGAAGCCAAAAAAACTGTTCTGGAGGGCGTCCTGAGTTGAGTCTCCACGTTTTTCTAACACCCGGTGGGGAGTGATGGCTGGTTGCATGGATTTTAAAGCAGGAATTGATGACTAGTAAAGTAACGAGAGGATTTTTTTACCAAACCACCAAGGATGAAGAAGACCATAAACAAGCGGCCCAGGGTGGTTTTTGCATAAACGTCTCCGTAGCCGACAGTTGACATCGTTACCATGAGCAGGTAGACACATTCCCAGTAGGAAAGCACTTGGGAATTTTGAAAATTTTCCCAAGGATCCCCTGAGTTTTCCACCTAGAAGAAAGGTACATATCAATGCAATAAAAACCACCCAGTTTTACAATGTGCTGAGCTGAAGTCTTGAACAGTTATGTAATAGCTTCCCTTTATGGCTGTTATAACATTCAGTTCATGTGTATGACCAGCAACTCATAAATATGTTTACTTGGATTTAGTCAACCTTGCTGATTGAAATTAATTGTATAAGATATTCGGAATACTGGGGCATCATAAAAATACAGCTAAACAGGAGAGCAAAAAGCAGCTTCCAGGCATCATCAACCACCCAGCGAGTTTGAACTAATATATAAAGAATACAAACAACTATGTGACTCCACCAACTTTTGCTTAGTGTTCCAGAAAAGACCACAAAGTGCAAAGTGAATAGATGAGGGGCATTTGCTTTGATAATGTACAGAACTTTGTCCAAAATGTCAAGTGTAAAACACTTACCAAATGAATGAATCCTGCTGCGGTTAGCCATGTGCTTATGAAGATTGAACACAGGTTCACCAACTTAATCGAGTTGCTGTTTTAAAAAGTAACATCAAAAGATGAGAAATTGATCAAAAGTTGTTGTTAATTCATGTATTGTGTACCTCATAGATAGTTCATCCTGAACTGTAATAACTTTCTTAAAAACATGAAAGTTTGCTTGACATATAATATATTCTAATGTACACTTCACTTGTTTTATTGCCGTCCTTCAACACTATAGTAACTTTTGCACTTATTCAAAAATGGATTTTTAAAAACTCAAATGTACTTTTGTTTAACGTGGACTATTCTACTAAAAATATAATTTCATTGTTACATTTTGTGAACAGAGGTTGTCCTCACAAAGTTAGGATATCTCTGCAGAAGCTTAATAAAATAACAAAGTATGTCTTAATGCAACATAAAGTCCTTGAATGACTTCTGTCCACCTCTTTGTGTGTTGCTGTCATCTGAGTGAATGACTAAGGCGATTACTCTAAAGCATTTTGTTATGCTATAAGCTCCTGACATCTGTGCAAAAAAGCTTTAATACAAAGCAATAAGAGCAAAAGCTGAAATCTTTTCCCAAAAAGATTGCAGGATATATGAAAACATATCAGTCCTATTTATGGCACAAAAAGCAATATTGACAAATACACTTTAAAATCAAGACTAATGGTA